GGGTTAACTTGAATGAAGCTTTTCAGCCAAGACCGACACGGCAAACTGGATTCCGCCCCCAATTGACAAGAAAATAACTTTGTGCTTTGTCACCCACCGCTTTTTGACCATTTAAATGATGTCATGATATGATAGCAAAACACTCTGTGCCGGTCAGGCAACTCGTCGTCTTCACATTGGGTTATTGCAAGCAAGCTCACGGTTGATTCATTTTTCATCTTGATTGTACGCCCGCTCGGGGATGAGCAGCATTTGTAAAAAGACTCCTCTCAACTCTGCTACTGACAAACCAAATCGACAAATGGCGATTGGTGAGCAACAATGACAGCAGTGATGGGATATCCATGACGACCGGCAGCACCAACACTTGAGCAAGCGCGCCAACCAGGCATCTGGTGCGTATTAATGAATTTGCAAATGAGCAAAACCCACGTAACAACCGAGCGCATGTCTCCAGTTGTGCCCCGCCGTGGCAACACACAAGCATTGATCCTCTATATTTGAACAAGTGCCACTCCACTGCGTGTACCTTGTTAAGCCACAAAGCTTGGAAGAGTAAAGGTCACATTGCCAGGCAACCACTTCAGTTTAAGGAACGTTTTAATCATGGTCGGAGCATGCGCAGGCGTGCGCACACGGATCACAATCTGCGTGCGTGTGTGATTACGAGAGGGGCCGCATGCATCACAGAGGGATGTTGAAAAAGCAATGCCGTCAAGCAGCCATAGAAGCGAGCGATAACGCCGTAATCCAATCCAGCAACATCTGGAGCCACAGTGCCCGAGCCGGCCAATCAGAGTGGCTGGATGGAATCGAACTGCCACCTTCAAACAATTGGCAGTGTCGTTTCTTCACTTCCCTCAGCGACATCTCGTGTCAACCGTGAGCGGTTAAGATTGATAGAAAAACATAACATCCTGCCTCGTGCTTGGCGGAGAAAAGAGGAAGGAAGCAGTTAATCAAAACAGGTAAAAAAATGGAGAAGAAAGAGCCTCGTGGGGAATTTCAAGGGAATATTATACAGGAGTTTATAACGACTCCACATGACTCCCCTTTAATTATCCTCCCGTGCAGCTGGTTGAGTCACCCCAGTATTCCTTAAGAACTATCCTATGAACGATCACCAGCCGCAGCCGCTCAGTGTAATGGCATGTTGGCGAAAGCTAATCCCATCATTGTCACTTTCGACCGAGCCCGGCAGTCTTCCTGGCATGAAGCTTTCATATATTGTAACTGACTGTCAGTAAATCCTGTTGCAACATATAGGAAGGGTTCAAAAAAAAGTTGAGAAAGGGGGTTTTTGATCGGCGGCGCAGCCTGGCGCCTGATAAATTCCAACACAATTCAATGTTCACAATCACAGTGATTGACAGGCGACCATTACAGGATTTGTTTGACCTTTGGATTTGGGAAATGCCTTTTTCACCGGACGTCCTTATTTTGTTCATGAGAATTCACCCGTATTGGTCCGCTACCAATTGTGATTTCAAAAGAAAACTGTGAATAGGCGTCTGGTTCTGGAATACTTGCCCACATTACACTCCATGTGCTTTGATTCCACCCGCAATAAATCATGAGAGACGAGGGTGGTCAGCGAGTCAATTATACACGAGGTTGCAATTCACGTTCCTGGCAAGCCACAACAACTCGTACTGTACATTTTGTCACTTCATAATCAGAGAACGTCGTCGTGCTTGTACAATTTGCGTGGAGCCACTCCATGAAAAATAACAGAAACGATGTTCCTCTCTTATTCGGAGAGGACGAAGTTAGCGCTGCCTCAATGGAATCTGATTGTAACCGTTTAGGTTGCATGGTTAAATATAGAAGAAGAGCGACATTGTTTTCTATTCAAGCTCCAGAATATTTGCTGAAACATACACACGTACTTAACACACATCGCATTTGGGAGAGATGACAGCAAGAGGGAGATGGCGGCCTGCTATATCAGTGGTGTATATATTCCTGGCTGGTGCTGATAAGTCAACTGATGCCTTGCCTTATTTAGTCAGTACACACTGTGCTGACACACGCTGCAAGGCTCTGTGTGTGTGCGGGAGTGTGTGTGTGTGTGTGTGTGTGTGTGTGTGTGTGTGTGTGTGTGTGTGTGTGTAAGATTGGAAACAGACTTGACACAGTACGTTAAAACGGTTATTTGAGCAGCACATTTGCCTCCCATAGTTCACACGTTCCAGTACACCGGGAAGCTTTTTTACTTGTATAACAAAATGAGAATTATCGTCCATTTGCCTGTTGCATAAACAAGCTCATCCATTATTTAATGTGTTACTTTTTATTTGCAATCTAAATTATTAATGTGACTAAAGTCTTTCTTCTCTTTTGCTACTGTGATCCTACGGCACTCAATGGTAAACATGCATCGCTGCAATTTGACAAAAAGTTTGGACAGTAGGCTGCTTCCCGCTGTTGTACTCAAAATTTAATATTTTGTTTTATTTTTATACACTATTTTCCAAGAATTGATATATTTAATTTGGGATGTTTTTTTCAGCTTAATATGTGATTTCCATTTGGTGTTTTTTTTTACTTCTAATGTGTGTGCTAAAAAGATGTCAGAATTAATTTAAAGTACTTTTTTTTTTTTAATACATTAATTTGTAGTCTCATATTACCATCCGCCAGTTGTGTACAAAGCAGAAAAGACAATACTCGTCTGTAAAATGACAGACTTATAATCTACTAATTTACAACCTAAGAAGTCGAGACAACCACCTTTGTAGTTTTAAAAACATATTGCATGCGGGGAATACTTGTCATCAATCTAACCTTCTCTTCGTGGCCAAAATAAACCTTCGATAAATATCGCTCATGCTCTTGAGAAGCGAGCTGCCGGTTAATCTTTCACCAGGCGGCAGAGCAAAGAGTGCAATGAAAAGGATGCACATCCTTCTTCACCGTGGAGAGAGTGATGGACCGTGCAGCCACTGACACGGTGCGCGTCGATGAATAGATGGTTCATTTGTTTTTATTTTAACGTACACCATAACATTTGTTGATGTATTTGTGTTTAGACGTGATATTGGTGATTGTAATATAGATTGCTTCTGAGGACCTTGGAAAAAAAAAAGAATTGCATATTACATTGCAATCGCAATCGTGAGTCAAGAGAAAATAACAATTGCATTACTTTTCAAAATTGTCCAACCCTAAAAAAATAAATAAATAAATAAAATATCCACCCATGTACAGGGCGGACATTCTCACCCCACACACAAAGTTCCGGGCCAAGATTGAAAGTTAGAACCCACTGCTGAGAGACAGACGTGCTCGGCAAAGGCTCCACCTGCCCTCCTTGTAACCGTGATATTTTCTGAGAAGACAATCGATCCGTGGTCCAACTGCATTCCCATGACCCCCACCCACAATCACTGCTGATAGTCACAGGGTCACATGACCAGAAATGAATCAATATGGGTGCATCCTCTGCCATGCAGCGCATCATGAGTCTTATGTAACCTGCTTACAGCATCGCAGTCTGTCACTGGCTGTTTTTCTTTCTTTCTTCTTTTTTGTGTTTTTTTCATACAAGCATCCTCTCAAATGAGCGGCACTAAAACAACAACGTTGTAAATCAAAACAAAAGAAAACAAAAGAAAAGCTCGTATTGAGCTTTGCAGCTGCACATGCAGAGTAATTTGATTACTCACTGTCTCAGTAGACTACAAAGGGAGCTCTGGCTTGCTTGCTGCCATAAGCACTTCGCATCAAATCCAAGGCTTGCTACTGCGGCTATGCTGGCGCCACGAATATCAGGTCATGTGTCTCCTTCTGCCTTACACCCTTATTCCAATACACAGCATTTATTTGTGTTTAGTCTGATGGTTACACTCAACACATCATATCAAAAGTCTGAGCTGTTTGGAAAACAGTATGTGGAAGGTTTGGTGTTAAGCATGTTAAATCCGCATTATGTAACCCTCATCTTATATCCCTGAAATCTGCAGAATAATGTCTCCCTGAACTCGCCAAAGTGGAATTCTATTCACAAAGAATGGCTGAGGCTGCGGCACCGTGCAACATTTTTTTTTTTAATTCAAAGAGGACTTCAGCATTTTTTTTAAAATGCAGCGAATATTAAAGAAGCATTTTTTTCTATAACCAATACGTTGAAAAAACTCCATTCATCACACAAAATGTACAGCGCGGGTTCCGCTCCGTTGCTTAGCAACACGACCGATCGACTCATACATCGCTGTACTTCCGGAGGCACGGCGCGCATGGTCTAAAAGCACGTCTGGCAAACGGAAGCAAATCTCGCTCAACTTTTAAAAGGGAGTCTCCCAGACCAAGCTCAACTGAGACTGTGAATTGGCAAAGTCGACGATGTTTCAAATTCTGGGAGTTGCAGTGCCGTCAAGAAGGAAACGTAACATTCGATACCCTCCAAAATTGGGATGGGTTCTTCCTCAGCAAATGTGCCGTTGGCTCTAGAAAGAATGATAGATCCTAACAAAGCAACCAATAACAAGCCAGCAAAACAATACATTGCACCTTTCCGCAGCTTGTATACACTGAGCCCCCAAGCTAACAACTCAATGTGGTGACGGCAGCGGATGTCAAAGCGATGCTCTCTATCTACATTGAACTGTGTCCTGGCGGGGGGTGAGACACCGCTTTTTTTTTTTTTTTAATGAAAAGGTCACGTCTCATCCACCTGTTAAAGCCCATATGCCACATCAGAGCAACACTTGGCAGGGGGTGCGGCTCGCGTTGTCGGGCACACGAGACGCCGTTGGCACAGTTGTGGATACGACCAGACAGTTCATACACAGCACACACCGGGAATGAAAAATATGGGTAGAGAATAGAAACAGAACCTCTTGCAGGGATGATGAGTGTGGTTACACAAAAGCCGTTGATGGATATAGGTCAAAAGCGTTGACAGCCTTTGTCCAGGCCGACATAACGGGCTTCAGGACTTGTATGCGGATGGCCAACGAAAAGGCAAAGTAGCGTAAGAATAAAAAAGAACGCTCTACCTGGAAGCTGCTATTTCCACTTTACTCCTGGCGATGGCCGCTGCCCTCTGCGCCCCCTCGACTGCCCGATCCACCTTCTCTTTGGTTTTGGGGTTCTTCAGAGGAATCAGCTGCTTCCTTATTCCACGCACCAGCACGTTATTTTTGTACTTCCCTTCTTCTTTGGTGCCATCTGGGAAAACTGTGCAGCCGTAACCATGGCGCTTGTTGTTCAGCCACTCGCCCTCGTACTTCATCCCATTGGATCTCTCTGAAACGCCAAATCCGTTGCGCTTGTCGTTCTTCCATTCGCCCATGTAGGTCTCGGTGGTGGTGGCGTCCACGTGGTCCTCCAAGAGAAGGTCCTCGTCTTGCAGCTCGCCGTCGCCGATGGATATGGTGGAGTTGGCGTCGCTGGAGCTGATGCGGCTCATGGTGGCGTCGCTGCGCGCCGAGCTGCGCTTGCTGGAGATGGAGGTCCGGGAGTCGGACTTGCGTAACTGCCGCAGGCTCCCGAAGAGGGAACCCCGGCGGAAGAGGCCCTTCTTCTTGCCCGTCACCACCTCGCTGTCCGAGTGGAAGTTGAGCACGAAGCCCCCGCGGTTGCCCGTGGGGGTGTCTGCAGGGGAGGAGAGGTCCTGCAGCACGGTGCCGTTGCTCTGCTCGGAGCGCAGGGAAGCCATGGATGTACGTAAAGGCGAACGGATAACAGTCGCCATCCCATAAGGGACGCTCTGGCGCACGCCGTAGCCGTGGCGCATGCCGCCCATCCACTGGCCTTGATAGGTGCCTGAGGACGGGGACAGACATTGTGTGTTAATTACGCACATAGTATGACCACGGTTCGCCTCAATTTCAATGTTGGACCTTTTTCATGAAGGTAGCATACTGCATTTCCACCATGTAAACAGGTTTTGTCATTTTGCTACATGCCTGCAGAATTTCCTTGCAGCTAATCACTGAATCAATATTTGCATGAAAAGAGAACACGGTGCACGAAACATAGACGCTGCATAAAATGCCGAACCGAAAATTCTTTACTTATTTATTTTACGCTGGGCAGCTATACCTAACGTGGTGGCCAGCAATTGCACACTGTTATTGCTAAGACTCGTCACATATGGGAAGATCAACCGGAATGTTTCCTTGAGCATTCACCTCAAACAAAGTCGTTGGATGAAGGTACTGAGGATCACTTGGGATGTGAATCACTGAGCTCTGAGCCTATTTTCAGGCAGCCGGTAACTCCCCCACTGACAGTGGGCACATTCACCGCTACCAGTTTGTCTCCGACCACAGGGACGGGCTATGAGTCACACAATGAGAGGAATGCTTCATTAAACCCGTTTGGTGTTCCCGAATGGCCCAATGGGCTACGAGCGGCTCCTCTGCGGCGTCATATTACAAACCGGATCTCCAATGGTAAGAAAACGCTTGCTGATCCAGAGCTTGCTAGCAACGACAATGCAATAATCCACAATGTTCACTTTCAGAGGAGAAAACGATCTATTGGTCGGGACTGCAATTTAGATGGATAAACAGTGTGAGATTAAAAGGCTGGCGCTGCGCTGAAGTTCAATTGGGTGACCCTGCAGATTCAAGTGATCAGGATGCTGCGGGGTCAGACAGCCAGATGTTCTCTTTATCCTCTCGGATCAGCTGACTTCCCCAACGTCCCGCCCCTCCCGGAACTATCGCCGCCATGTGGGCGGCATCATTCCGCAACATATGGCTGCAGATTGTGATGTGGATGCTCACAAGTCACCACGCCGGTTGTCGTATGGCCAGAAATGACAGCGACAACAACGTGCACACAATGTTCGATTCCTTAAGAGCTTAGTGATGATTGCTTATACGCCTTGAAGTGAGACTATCCATATCATACCAAAAGCATGAGTTAAAGAAAGTCTCTTTTCTTTCTAAACTTAAATGGCAGTCATTAGATTAGGTTGAACCATCAACAAAGAAATTTCTGTTTTTTTTCGTCCTCAAGGACCATGCTGTTCTTCATTCTAGGACTGGGAAAACAGTTCCACTGTGACACATGTTTAAAAGAGATGACGTTCTCTAACAAATATAATTAAAACGTGTCTTTGCTTTTTTTTTTCCCTATTGCAAATCCAGTTTTTGAGATGAGTTGTAATTCATAGTTACGACGTTTTGGTTAAAAAAAAATCCACCAGTTGCTAAATGTAACCATTAATTCGTAAATATTCATAAAATGGTAAACTTTTTTCAAAAAGTTATTATGACGAAAACCATATGTGCCAAAGAACAAATCAGGGCAGATTGGGAATCAGTGAAAAATATATATCGGAAAGTTTATCTTCCATCGCTGCTTAAAAAAATCTAGTAAAAAATGATGACCATTGTCATGGGGGAGGGTGTGAACCATGCAGGGCACTAGTTGTGTTTATTTGTCTCAAGTTTGTCTTGCCCCCAGTTTGGGGTAGGCTTCTGCTCCCCTTAAAACCTTATGCAAGCTCTCGAGAAAATGGATGGATGGATGGATATTTTGCATTCGATTTTTTTTTCCAGAAATAGCCCTGGGATGACTTTAAAAAAACTGAAGCAGCCGCCGCGAGGCAAAATAGTCGCAAGTGTGGGCATTGCGAATGTTTCCAAGCGGTCCCCCTTCCCGTAACGTGCTGTCAAATAGTGCGTGCACGCGTTCAAGTGCAATGCGCAATCATCTCCGGATTCACTCAGGGCGCTCGTTCGCGCAACATGTTGCCTCACCTCCATCGCCGTAGGTTTCGATGCCATATCCATCTTGGAGCCCGTTGCTCCAGGTGCCGTCGTATCTCGCAGGTGTGTTGTGGCTCTGCCGGACGCCGTAGCGCCCCTTGAAGCCGTGGCTCCACTCCCCGCGGTAGATCCACTTGCCTTTATTCTCCACGCCCAGGCCATGCCTCTTGCCCTGGGACCAGTAGCCCTTGTAGGTGTTGCCACTGGGCCAGGTGTACACGCCGACTATCTCGAAGCCGTGCGACCAAGAGCCCGCGTACTCGCCCTGGCCCTTGGGTCCGGTGCAGATGCCGTGTCCGTGGGCTTTGCCATCCTCCCAACCCCCGCAGTATGTGCCGCCATCGTCGAAGTCGAACCTTCCGCCCGTCATTCAGATGCAAAGCTGGGGGGGAAACGGCACGACCGAGGCAGGGGCGTCCAGGACCAACGGGAGAGGATGACTGGTGGAGGAGAAAACGGTAGAGAGAGTGGTGATGAAGATGATATGGATGGGGAGGAGGTGGAGGATGATGACGAGGTGAGCCTCCCTCTTGCGTCCTCTCGTGATATTTTATAAATATATATATATAACTATGCCTATTAAATAAGCTTCGGAAGTGTGAAGGTATGAATGGTGGGCGTCATTTACCGGATCCGCGCACCGGCTTGTTCGTTGAGTGTGGCTGGTCTCCCCACTCTCGCCCACTGGCCACCGAGGGAGGGAGGAAGGAGAGAGAGATACCCCTGCTGGACAGGGTCACCCGGCCAATCACACGCGACGTCACCGCAAAGATCCCGCCCACTCCTCCTCTCCCATCTCTGATGCATCACACTCCCTCCTGCACGAAGATTGACTGAAATGTTATACAATAATATATCAACGCCATATCCAGGCCAAGTGCACGCTGCTTTTACTATTAATTTCCTTCAAAACAAAGTTCAATTTACTACGACTGCGTTCAAAACGTCATATGACTGCATAAAGACCGATGATATGACTACTTTTAAGAAGTTTAAAAATAAATACATGGGCAACTTCTTGACAAATATTGACTGATCATTTGTCTTTTAATATGTAGTTCATTATTAGAGGTACTGTAGTAGTGCATGCTTTCCGTACGTCTTCTCAATGTAGGTTCCTTACAGGTGTTCTACAGCGACATCTGGTGTCACATGTACTGACTACATTCTGGATCTTTGGTATCCTGTGTATAAGGGCCCTGCGATTGGCTGGCAACCAGTTCAGGGTGTACTGCCCGAAGACAGCGCGGGTAGGCTCCAGCACGCCCGTGACCTTCGTGAGAAAAAGCGGATTGGAAAAGGGGATGGATGGATGTATAAGGTCCATCCATGTGCTACTACGCTTTGTCCTCACACTCCTTACTTGTAGGACCACTACTAGATTGACTGAGTAACGTTAGCCACGCAATAAACGTAAGTCGGTGTAGGGTTATATTATTTATTTAATCATTCAAACAAAATAAAATGGCTAAAAATATATATTGCGAGAAACAAACCTAATTGAGATTGGTAAGTAGTACTACTCCCTGCCAACAGGGGGTGTCTTGAGTCAACTTGGGCATTGTCGCCTGCTTATCTTCACTTGTCCCCGGTGCCCCTCAAAACGAAAAGATGGAGGCTGAAAACAACTCGCAGTGCCAAGACGAAAACGCGGCTCTTGTGGAGAAGGACTCGGGCGAGGAGGCGCCAGAGCGGCGTGACGCCGTCGTCAAAGCAAACGAGCCAAAGTTAACACTTTATCACTGGACACAGTCGTTCAATTCACAGAAGGTAAACGTCCCCCTTTTTCAGCACCAGGCGTCCACGGACAGCTCCCGATTGAAGCTCAATTGGAGACGCCCGCGTGGTGTTGACGGACACCTGCGGGATGTAACGCGTTATCTTGCACTCGTGTTCTGTCACTGAACGTGTTTGAATGGAACATCAGCGTTGTTGTTTGCGTCCTTGGCTTTTTTTTTGGGGGCATTATTTCCCATGTTGTGTACAATATTCAGTGGTAGGAGTAATGATGTACAGTCCTACTTCGTTACTGTAGCTTTTTCAGGTATCTGTACTTTACGACGATGCATTATTTACTTTGTCATTCTATTTGAACTTGCCACTCCTTATTTTGTCAAAATAGGTTTGTTACTTTTTTTCAAATACTTAATAGATAGAGGTACTAACCAGGTAATGCCATGTAAGATTTTGATTAATTGAATGCTATCTTGGGGTGCATTAAAGGCAAAAAAAAAAAAAAAACAAGTACAGAAGTACAGCAGCAACATGGTGTAATGTAAACCGTGGAGCATGAACAAATGAAAACAGATTCAAATAAGCAAGATATTAACTATCAATTTAGGATTGTGTTCCCACTTACAAAGTAATGTTATGATGTCACTGTAAAACCAAGTTCGTCATTCACCAAGGCCGGTCTTTATCTGACAACATAAGGTAGCCCATTGTACAACTGCACTGCATCAGACTAGAATTGTGTTTTAAATTTTTTCATTTTGAAAACATGTCTTTTTTTCCCCCAGGTGCGTCTGGCCATTGCAGAGAAAGGTTTACATTGTGAAGAGTATGACGTGAGCTTACCACTCAGCGAGCACAATGAGCCGTGGTTCATGCGTCTCAATCCGACTGGCGAGGTGCCCGTCCTGGTTCACGGAGACAGCGTCATCTGTGACCCCACACAAATCATGGACCACCTCGAGCACAACTTCACCGAAGGTAAGATTACAATGACCGCGGCACATTCATATAAATCACTGCAGGGTTGCGCTTTTTCCTTTTTCTCATCAGTTATGTTGATTTCATGTTTGTTGAAGGAGACATATTATTCATTTTTCTTGGCAAAATACCCCAACTGAGCAATAATTACAAGGTTTGCCCTGCTGAAAGCAGCTCGTTTGAGAGGGTAGCCTTGTAAAGTACATTTTCCATCATGTGTCCCCTTTCAGTTTCAGTTACATTTGTTACTGTTTCTATCATTTCCTTTTGGCATGTACCGGCCCATGATAGCGTTATCCTGATGGCTTAAGTGGAGAAAAAAAATGTATATCTGGTAAGCACGGATTCATCTCACATACTGCCTTGCCTATGTTTTTTTCTACGCAAGCTAAAGGTGTAGTATTTTAAAGAAAGCCATTTGAGCATTTATTCAGCATCCTTGGTATCTACCACATACTAGTCCGTTCTTTGCCCTTACGAGGACTTAGTACAACAATTCAGCGCACTTGTAGAATAAGTGTGTATTCCATGAGTGGTGACATCTTTGGCCTACAAGTACTCAATTTTAAACTGCATCCCCGTACACGGACCTTAGTGACATCTTTGGCCTACAAGTACTCAATTTTAAACCAATTTTATACTGCATCCCCGTACACGGACCTTCAGGTGGATATCAAGGATATCGAATCAATGCTCAAGCGGCTTTCCATGGTCTTCTCCCTTCCGTTTCACTCTCCTATTCTTCACCTGCAGAGGGCACTCCGAGGCTGATACCAGAAGAGGGAAGCACATACTACCACCGAGTGCAGCACTACAGAGAGCTGCTGGACTCACTGCAAATGGACGCCTACACGCATGGCTGCATCCTCCACCCTGAGATCACCGTAGACTCGCACATACCTGCTTATGCTGCCACAAGCATACGAAGTAAGCCACAATGGCCTGGATTCAAGTCACCTCTGTAATTAGCTGATGTGCTTTAAAAAAACAGAATACATTCATATTTCATAAGAAACATGCACAAATGAGCATTCCGAAACACCAGCATCATTTACTGGATCTAGTGTGTTCTCTGCCCCAAATGCAGAGTCATGACCTCCTTCTCCTTTTTTCTTAATTTTTTTAAAATATACTATAGCGCAAATCCTAAACACAGAGTCAGAACTGAAGAAACTAGCAGAGGAGAACCCGGAGCTCAAAGAGGCTTATATCGCAAAACAGAGGCGCTTGAAGGTGAGTCATAAAAGTTGTCTGGTTGTCAGATGCACGCTACCCCTTCCGATCTGATTGAATTGCTGTCGGCAGTCCAAGTTGTTTGACCACGACAACATGAAGTACCTGAAGAAGCTTCTGGATGAACTGGAGAACGTGATGGATCAGGTTGAGACGGAGCTGCAGAGGAGGGAGGAAGAAACACCGGGTAGCAATGAGTAGGATATTACGCAACGGCGCGGACGTTCAAAAGAGTATTTGTAAAAAGCAATCTTCTCTTTCTCAGAAGAAAACAGCCAGCAATCGTGGCTGTGCGGCCAGTTCTTCAGCATGGCCGACGTCTCGCTGGCCGTCACCCTGCACCGCCTCAAGTTCCTGGGCTTGTCCCGCCGCTACTGGGGCAACGGCAGCCGCGCCAACCTGGAGGCCTACTACGAGCGTGTGCTGGAGCGCCCCGCCTTCAGGAGAGTCCTGGGCCACGTCAACAACATCCTGATCTCGGCTGTGCTTCCGGTTGCCTTTCGCGTGGCCCGCAAGAATGCGCCGGTTATTGCCGGCACCACGCTGTTGATCGGTCTTTTGGGCGGAGCCACCTACCTGGCCTTTCTTTACATGAGGAGGAGGTTGAGTCTGTCCAGTTGGGGAATGTGGAGCTGAATTTAAGAGATGGCACAAATCCCGCATTTGTCAAATTCAACTCAAATTGTATTCATCTAATAAATAATACGTATAATGAACCGGTAGCACGCAAAATGAATTCAACCCTTCGACCCGTATTCGACCCATTTGCAAAGTTAAACTCCACACAATAAGGCCAGATGTGCTGTTTCTAAATAAAGTCTGCTTGCAAAGGCGGTTGAATATTTTGAGTGCAACATTATATACGGTACTATGCACAAAACTTTGGCCGCCGTTAGCTTTGTTGCTGTCATTTAGTACTTTCTACTTCATAAAAAGTAAGTAGTATTATGAAAAAGGGGCAATCCAGATGAAAATTCAGGTCATCGTAGCATTGGACACCCAACAAAGCCGCAGGTGGTTGTTGCATATTGCTGTAACTAAAAACAATCCATCATTTGCAAAGATGTCTTTATGTTGAGGACATGTAGTCATATGCTCAAATCAGCATTTAAAAGACACCCCAAAAAACCAAAACAATACCACAAGCTAAAGTGTGATTGGTCATAGGACAAGCATGTACCAAACGCTTCTTGCATTAATCGCCAAGGAAATGCATTTCTTGGTCAATTTCAAGCTGAGCATTTTTGAGCAGCCATCAAAAAGGCACCTGTGTGAAATAAACTTTCTTCTAAACACTCTCCCACTGTCTCCTCTGCCAGCCAGCGTAACTGACAACCACCGGACGAATGTCCACTTGGTCATCTTGTCAGAAGCTCTCTCTACTGTATATGACCGATTTTTAAAGACGACACATTCCCAGACTCTGGATGCAAGTGAAAATCGACAGGCCAACACTGACATGGAAGTATGGAACATGACGACTAAGACCACTCAGGTGAGCGTCGAGCTGCACATAAAGCAGACACATGTTGGACGCCCGCAGCCTGTCTGGCCTGCGGGCTCAGCATCTGGTAGGCTGCGTATTGTAGCTGTCAGCGAGCACATCAACACTGGCTCATTACCACACGAGTCACAGAAAAAAAGAAAGAAAAGCCATGGTGGCATTGGTGCGAATGCATTCATTCAAAATGTTTTTAGGCACTGCAAATAATGTTTTAAGTATTCAACAATTCATCATACTGAGAGGGTATTCATTTTTTTGGGGGGAGGGGGGGACGGGGGTACTCTATTTGTCAAATTCTGCAAACTAAAAATACTCATTATATGAATCTATATGACAAACAAAATCAGCATGAATATCTTTGCGGAGGAAGAATTTAGGATTGCTTGATTAGCTTGTGGCAGTGTATCCAATGATGCGCATACACGCACGGTTCCACAAGGGAGCAGTATTTTCTCACATAGCTTTGACATTGTGTCAAGTAGAATTTTTGGTAAAAAAAAAATGATGACGCAAATAATCTATGCAGGGACCATATCTATCTTGGAGCAGGTGCGGGCACAGTTTCTCTTCAAACCTACCCTGCTCTTAGCTTCTTGCAGAAAACACGGCTGTTAAACCCTCAGTCAATCCATCAACGGCTTCTATTCTTTTGTCAGAACAGTTTGGAAAGAACCGTGTTTGTTCTCCACGGGGGTTCAAAAAGCCACGATGGATACATTCTGCGTAGAAGAACCTGGATTAGCGGGTGTTTCGAATTAGTCTGAAACCGATTTTGAGGTTTTAGTCAGTGACCTCTGGTGCATTCGGGCATTCACAATCACATTATATATTTTTCTATGAAAATAGGGTGTGGGATTGTATCAACTGTGAGGTATTAAGGCAGCACCACAGTGCGAATGAAGTTCTTATCTTTGGGATTTCACGGCAAATTTCTGAGGCAAGGGCGATTTCTGGGTCAAGTTGAGCGGCTCCAAAGAGAATCACGATGGAGTGAAATGCTATCAAGTGTCAAGGAACAGCAGAATCAGAGAAAAAAAAAATCTTCTTGCTGAATAGAAAGTGTTTGTTTGTGGACAGCGAGGCGAATGGTTTAGAGGGTTGGTGTGAGCTTCGTTGCATGTCCACAGACGGGCAGGCTGGGCAAACACAAACCCACACAGCGGCAGCTGACAGCCAAAACCCACTTGACGGTACACGTTGGACGGAGTGGGCCTGAGTGGCAGCGTGGTAACTTCGGCTCAAGCTTTGAAAAGGCTCGGCAAAAAAGAGATGGTTTTCGTGTCCACAGCTTCATCACATCATCTCACTGCGGACGCAGGACTGAAATGTTAAGGTAACCACCCGCCCCCTCTCAATGAAGCAGGCGGCAGCTGCTGCGCTTTCGTCCTGATGAGCATCGTTACTCTTCCATCTCACTCGCCGCACGGCGACGTTGGACACCCCCGCTCCAAAATGGAGAAGAGGAGGCCTCATCCAAAGCCCATTTGGCATCGTCAAAAGGTCTTCTGAGAAAAACCTTTTCGGGCTCTTTCAGAACGCCTGCCATGAACTGTTTGCCGAGTCGACCGCCGTGTTGACACTACTGTTAAAATGACCCCCCGCTGGCTCGCCTCTCACAGCTTTGTGATGAAATCCTGTGCCACCATTCACCCCCACATGTGCTCCTCAAATATTTAACCTGGCCATACATAAACAGCGCTACGAGTGAACCTGTTGCGTTACAAATCACGGTGTGGCCGAGTCAGACACACACAAGGTCCGATTTCTTCATCGGGCTCATGAATTTAAAGTCATTGAAATGATTCAGGAAGATGACTCACCTGACAGACATGTAATGAGAGGGAACGGCAACTTTTCATTTGTCTTGAATTGCGTTCATAAGTAATTGATTACATTGCCGATATGGTATTGAGCAGCCCCGAGTTCTTAGGTCACAGTAAGTAGCGTGCTTTGCTGGAAATACCACACGGATCAAGAATTTTTCAAGCATATTCCTTGCCGTGGTGAGATTTGCTCGTTGAGGGTCAGACCGGACTCACGTAATTAATGCGCCAGCCCTCATCCCCGCCTCCTTGACTGCCGGGCCACTGGCGAGCTTGGTTTTGACGACACTTGCAACCAGTTTGGTCATCTACTGTCCCGCCTTGCTCGGTGGTGACCTTTTCGCGGTTGGCCAACTGCTTCATCGAATGGAAGCAGAGCCCAGAGTGTGGAAAGCAAGCAAGCGCCCAAGACACAAACAGTAAAGAACCCTCATGTAATAGTCACATTTTCAGACATAGCCAGGTAACTGGACGTTTATTTAACTTCATCCGTGATTGAGGGCAGGCACTCCAGAAACCCAGCTTTTTTGTTAAAAAGTCCATCTTCCATAATATGCCTCCTTTAAAGCAATGATTTCATTCACAGGGTCCAGTGCGGCTCACAGAGACTGCGACTGGATTATGTGAGCAGGCTAACAGGTGAAACTATATATGGTATTCCAAGCAGGCACTGGGAAGCGGCTTTTTACATTGGCAAGATTGCGTCGCCTCTTTGCCAAGTACAATAGTCAGCATAATGAGAAACACTTGTTCCCCAGAATGAACCATCCAGTCACCCACCCGGCCCTCAAGCAGGGGGAGCCCCTGCGTGTTTGACGGTGTTGTTACATCGTCATTGATTATGTTTGGTGGCTTTGGCTCGGAGCCACGCCGATATTCTCATACAGCCATGGAAACGCTGGCCTCAGAGGTGCACTCAAGCATGAGTTGCTTTCTACAGTAAGACAAAAAAATAAAACAAACAGGCCAAACATCGGAGGACAGCGTGCGCGAGCAAACAAGCTACACTTTGCAAAGAAACTCGAGAGGCTGGCATCCGTGTACAGTATTTGACAGTTCATCGATCATTTTAGCAGAAAAGCAACTTTGCAAAAGTGTGGAGTGAGTTGCCAGGCTAAGACGTATTTCGTCTCATTCAATCGGCGTCATTTATTTATGGCCGAGCGACAAGCCGGCACTCGTGTCCGTTTGCCTGGCGCTCTATCATGGAGTCTGACGTAATATTTAGCAGTGCGACGTTACTTGAATGTAGCGCTTGTCCCGATTGGGGTTGATGAGGGTAAATCACAAGCCTGAGAATTCTCTTGCCGACAAAGTATGATGACACTATACATTGTAGAGATGGCACGAATTAAAAGCGATGACAACAGTGACGACTGAACGAGCACTTCAGAAATCAAAGTCTGGGTTGTTTTTTTTTTTTTTTCGGACTAGTAGCAGTCAGTCAAATGAGCTCACCATGTTTTGCCGTGTTGCATTACCATGGCATTGAAGGTGAGAAGGCCACATTGGGAGCTTTATGCTTTTGGAGGTTTGGTGCGAGGGCTCCATTTCTGGATGGCAGCACTGTACTAACAAACACTTGCACTGATATGGAACACCTCCCCAAACTGAAAACTGTACTCGCTGTGTTTCCGAGCCCGTGAGTCAGACTTTTCCGACAAAGTTGCACGGCAGCAAACCTAAATATTTTCTCCACGGATATGGACGTCGTCGGCGAATCCCATGAGATCTTTGCGGCTAAAAATAGGAATGAAGCCGCGTGTGAAAAGTGTGTCTCTGTGTCATACATTCGGGGGCTGAATTTGGAATGTGCGGACTCATCTTACCCAGTTCAAGGTCAGATATCAACAAAAACAACCCCCCCCCCCACCCCCACAATATACGACCTATCCATCATTTCTCACGGCACTCTGACCTTGAGGAAGTGAGGATGCAGAAATCAATGTTTCAAAAGGGATAGGCACATCATGAGCATTTTTTTCTTTTTTAATTTAATACCATAACACTCATTTTGCAGAAGCCGGACAGACGAACTGTCACGGAGGGAGAACACAACCGTGTTTGTAGAACAATAATGTCACCGAGCTACAGGTGCAATTTCGAGGTACTTGGTACTTGGTATTGAATTGATTGTAGCGTATTACCCATGAGCAGCCGGATGCTTCTCAATGTGGAATAAGCCCAACATCTGTTTTGACCACAAATGGTCCTCGTGCCCCCTCGTTTACTTCACCGGTTGCACGCAGCGGCTCACCTACACAGCCAAAGCGGTGGGCCGAGTTCCGTGCGGCCAAAGGCAACTCGATCCCATCATTAACTCAATGAGGTTCCACGCAAGCAAAATAAAAGTCCGAAACCAGTGGAAAAGTATCGTATTTTTGTCTCCTCTTAGAGAGGGCAAGCAAAACCGAATAATCGACAGGTCAAATGAGGTAAGAGGAGAGCTTATGTGTCGAGCGATTCCATTTACGTTTGGCCTCACTTGTGGGTGACAGTTATTTGGATTTTGAGGTGGGTGATGTATTATGGTGGATCATTTTATTTCCATTGCACAAAAGCAAAATGGAGCATTACTGTACAAATACAACGGCAATTTTAGTTTCTGTCAGGCTCGACCCGCAAATGAAAAAAAAAAATCGCATTTGATGCCTCAAAATGTAGTGAGAATGAAATCTCCTAACTGGTTTTCCGTACGAGTGCCACCAATAATCCATTTCCAAACCATCACATGAGCATGTGTGCGTCGATTGACGACTTGATTCTGTTTCTGAGAAGAGATGACGCCTCCGAAATAGCAGAACATTCCATGAAATTAGGGATCTTCTCCAATTGAGAACAAGAGCCCATTTTGAAGTACGGCAATCACTAGATGGGTAGGAATCGGAGCAAATCAGAAATGTTCCAGCATATACATACGTACATCATACACATATAATTTTTCACAATGATCAACACATTTTTCTTCTTT